ATATGTCACAAGAAATCCGGCACGCAACTCGGCTCTGTCGCTAAAAAACTACGCACGCAATTCATCCTAAATACTGATATTCGCACGCAATTCGGAAACACTGATAGTAATAGATACACTATTTAAAAACTAAGAAATGTTTGTCAATAATATTTGACGATTATTAATTTGAATAAATTAAAGCAGTTATAAAATTATATAAAAGTAATATTACTCTATATGTATACTCTATAGAAGCGGTTCTTAACCTGTGGTCCGCGGCCCACTGGAGGTCCGCAATACTCATGTGTCATGTTGAGGATTCACGGCAACCTTAATACTTAAAATACTTTACGTAGATATTGGTAAAGAAAGGTAGGTATTTGGAAAAAATTGGTAAGAGGGTCCGTGATTTCTTAAAAATCTTTGATCAAGGGTCCGCGCGTGATCTATAAAAGATTAAAAACCGCTGCTCTATAATAAAGACGCCGCGTCTAACTGATAGTAGGTGTTTCTTTTCGTACAATGGAGGGAATAACATCAATTTCCGGCTGTCATGACCTGATCGTTTTTTTTACGTTACGGATATAAGGAGTGCGCAATCCAATTTCCAGTATTCTTATCTATCTCGAATCTCGATGTATCATTAATAAAATAATTTGATAGTATAAAACACTATTATCACAGTCTTGGACTATTCATCTATTCTCAGATTGAGAAATGCAATCAGGACATCATAAACAAAAATAATCTGTAATTGGTCATAATGTCAAACGATAATACGAATATACATTTGTTTTGACTACTGTAATAAATTGATAATTCGATACCCAAATTATTAAGACCGTACAACGGAAGCACTTAGTACCTATTATTCACATTAATTTGCAGTACCGCGGCGTGCAGTCAAAATGCAATTTCTAAAAATTTTAAATATTTCTCAAACATAGAGTTTTGAATTAATTAATATGTTCTTCGAGCACTAAATTGTATTAAAAAATGTCTTCATATCGTATATGTATCCCATTTAAATGTCTAAAGTTAACCCCTTAAAACCTCTCCAAAATATTTAAAAAAAATTATAAAATGTACAAATAATTTTAGATGTTTCTAAATTAAAAAACTTTCGTATTATAAATTGTTCTCTATTTTGAATATCAATATGTTAAAATGGCTATAGCATAAATCCTAGAACATAATCTTGTGTGCACATGTACCACTTGATTCTATTAACACAGTTTTTAATTTACAATTAGAATATACATCAATGTGTTTAAAATAAAAATTAAGGGCACTGTACAAGTATTGGGGCATTGAGTGTTCCATGCTCGACCGGAAATTGATGTCTGCGAATGTCTATGGTAGTAGTATAATATTAACATACCTTAACAAATTTTTCATTCTTTTATGGTGGTCTGAATCTGCAATATTATACTCTGATACAGTGATACTTTGCATATTGTCAGTCATGTTGATTGTAATAAATTTAATTAGTTGAATATTATAATAACGATTTACGCGATATAAAAAACCTTAAATCAATAAATATAGAAAACTTTTTGTTAACAAAACTAAATTCGCACTAAAATACAATTAAAAACTTATTACACAGTATTTCAAATTCAACTGAAAAAATACCTACTTTGCTTTGTAAACGAACTATAGAAATAACAATCTTGGTCACTGGGCAACTATTTTTTAAATAGTTTATGTTTTTAATCGTAGCCAAATTACATAATATTATGTTTGTGTACAGACATAAAAAAATTAGATAAATCAATAATAAAAATGTTCAATTCTCTTACTGGTAAATGAATTTACTAATAGATCATTATAGAAATTAATTTATTATTTTTTATTTGCTAAAGAAATTAATTATTTTCAAAAACTCAATTTTTGTATACATACGAGTATACGAGTATATAATAAATATTAAAAATTTATTAAAGTCACTTACCTTGTATGCATAATATATAATATAATGCAACTAAGAAAAAATATAAGAATAGAGTTAATTATTAGTTATTACTTATCATATTGGAATACTGATTTTTTTAAATTAGAAATAATATTATTTAATGGTTTTATCAATAGGTACATAAAAAAAAAACATTTTTTTCTCCTAGTTTTTGGTCATTGAAATAATACCACCAAACAAAATGCTCTCCGTGCACCTCTATCTTTTACCATTATCCTTCATGGTACCTCTGGTTGTATCCTTCCCGAATCTGTTTATACGCTGTCTTTGTAATAATGTAATCGTGGTCTTCCCAATGGTCTCTTACGTATCGGATTATCTGATATTGTTGTTCTAACTAGACTTATATTTTGTTGGTTATAATTAATATTATTGTTATTTTTCCGCTTTTCGCCCGTTATTCCGGCCTTTTGTGACCTTTTTTAGCCGTGTTTCGTCCTTTATCGCGTAAAACGTATATCTATTGCAAGCTGGGAACAAATCTACTATATCTAGTTTAGCGCCCACGCAAATTTTTCAACTTTTTTTTCAGGAACTTGTGTATTTTAACGAGTTAAAAACGATGGTGCAAACCATAACTTTTTGAGTTAGGGCCTCGCGAAAATCACGATTTTTGGTGTTTTGGCGCATGCGCACAATGGTCTATTTCACCGTGCTTTAGTGCATAATACCTATATATTGAATTTTTTTTTTTTGAAACCAAGTAAATAAAATTAACGTTTTAAAATTGATAGCGCAAAAATAACCTATTGAAAATCAGTAGTTCTAAAGTTATTTGCCTATAGTGTTTACTGTTTAGCAATAATCGGTGTTTTACGCATTCGTACAACGCTCTATATTTCACCGTACTACTGAAACTTTTCTGTTTTACAAAAAAAAAAATTAATTAAATAATTACATTTTTTTGCAATTTGTATTTGTTTTAACGTACCTATGTTGTTGAGTATGCTGAAAACGACGAGGAAGTCAGAATTTGACTTAACCATTATAGCAATATCTGAAAGTAATGGTATTTTCATATACATCCGATGTAGTCATTCGCTTGTTCGGACAATTAAAATCGAAAACATTCCTCGACTTGCTATGTAAAACCACCACGGGTAGGTCTCAGAGTTAAAAAAAAAAATATTAAAACACATAATATGAACTAGTTATATCACAGGTACCTAATCATTATCATTCTAAATTTGACTTGAATCGCATAAAGCTATAGATTTAATTTAAAAAAAACTAGTAATTGACAATTGAAAAAGCATAATATAATTACAAAGTACCTATATACTTATACATTTTAAATAATTAATCATTCGTAAAGATTATTATACCAATTCGGCTTTAAAATGCAGTTGATTGCACAAGACAATATTTATATATTTATTTATTTTTAAACCAGCAAATTAAACACAATTGGTATTTTGGTATGCACACATTTTACGCGCACTTGAAGTTCAATATAATATATATATATATATATGTATACATATTTAAATAGATCGCACTATTGTTGAATAATAAACTCTTAGCACACAAAAGTAAGTGTAGCATTTAAATTTAGCTGTTACTTGTTATTTAATATAATATAATACTTAGCTATCGCGACTATAGTAGCAATATCATAAAAATATGACATTGAATGACATATTTGTCTAATTCAAAAAAAAGCTTACCTATCATAACATTAACGGCGATTTTAAAATTAAATGTACACCAAACATACTCGTACCCTGTACTTACAAAATTATTATTTCATACAAAATATGATGTGGCTCTGCAGCAGTCTGCATAAAATTATTGTTTATGTGTTGTATTTCTTTTTTATCAAATAACTTCTAATAACAAAAATATATTTCAAATAATAGTATATTATAACAACAATCAGCGATAATACGCGTGTTACAGGTGTAGGTGGCAAATTGTTTATCAGTTATGGAGGGCTTATAATGAAACCAAAACAATAAGAATTCCAAAGTCCGTACCTTGAGTCTTGAAACGGTACGTCACATCATACTCCTAATTATTATGGAATTTAATGGATTACAAAAGAAGTACTTATCTTGGCCACTCGTACCTATTGTTTTCGACAGACAAGTAAAAATTAAAAAAGTACCTATTAAACGCCAGTAATATATATTCAACAGACCGCCTTACGAGAAAAGCTCTTTCTAGCGCGTACACATATAGGTACGTTTCTGTAGGTACGAATTTTTGAATGTTCGGTAAATTTAAAAATCCGAAACGAAAATTCGTAAACGCTGTCGTCCGCGTAATAAATTAGCTGTAGTAGTACATCAGTCCTTCATTCTCGTCCATTTCAACGTCTCCTGTTTAGCCGTTCTTTGTTTATCCGCATTCAACAATTCTCCTCACGTCGTCCGGACCACAGTCGACTCCGATGACGGCATAAAACCACGTGCCAAACGGACGGAAGTTCCGAGCGAACTCGAAGTCTTGAATAGCTCGCAAAAGGCCAGTCCGATTAGTAAAACGTGACTAGGCGCTTATGGAAGGAGTTCGTCTCATTATTACATAAACCTCTTATGTATTGTCTAAATAACTCATCAACTTAACCTCTTTCGTTATCAGTAATATTATTTTTATTGATAAAATACAAAATATTAATACTCTCAATATCTACTTTCTCTAATTCAGTACCCACTAACCTACCCTACACATCAACACATTTTAGTTTTGAGATGAACTCACAATAACCAATCCGTTGAAGCGATTTACTAGTTCTGCTGTTCACAGCAATTGAAGCTTGATGACTTTGTAAACACAAATAATAATTATGTATTAGTGTAAATTCTGTAAATAATTAACATGTATTGTATACTATTATTTACATTATCACTTAATGACTTTAATTCAATTAAGTAATTGAAATATTTATCAAAAAATAAAATATTATGTATAATAAAATATTTTTTATTAAAAATTAAATTACATAATTTACATAATCCAATAATTAATAATATTATGTACAATAATGAAATTAATCAAGTCAATAAATCATTTATTTTTGAAATTATAAAAAAAAATTACTGACATTGAATGTTTTACTTAAACAATATAAATATATATATTTAAAAGTTAAAAGAATATAAAACAAAACCATGTAGTTTACCGTTTTCGCCCAAGTCTATCATTTTCTTTTTCTTCATTTCGTCTAGTAGATCTATCATTTTCCCTCCTGTCTTCATTTCTTCGAGATTTTTCATTTTCATTTCTTTTAGTTTTTTCAAGTTCACTTCTACTATGTCTATCATTTTCTTTTCTTTCTTCATTTCTCCTAGGTCTATCATTTTCTTTTCTTTCTTCATTTCTCCTAGGTCTATCATTTTCTTTTCTTTCTTCATTTCTTCTAGGTCTGTAATTTTCCTTTCTTTCATCATTTCTTTTGGATATATCATTTTCATTTCTATCTTCATTTTTTTTAGATCGGTCATCATCCTTTCTCTCTTCATTTCGTTTTGACATGTCATTAACTCTTCTTTCTTCATGTCTTTTAGATTTATCATTATTTTCCTCTCTTTCTTCGTATCTTCTAGATTTTCCGTTTCTATCTTCATATTTTCTAAATTTATCATTATCTTTTTTTCCTTCAATTCTTCTCCAATTATTATTTTCATTTCTATCTTCTTTTTGTCTTGGCATATCATTGTCCTTTTTTTCTTCATATCTTCTAGGTTTATCAATTTCATTTTTTTTCTCATGTTTTTTAGATTTTTCCTTTTCCTTTTTTTCTGAATTTTGTTTAGATTTATCATGATCTTTTAATTTTTTATTTCCTGTTAAACATAAAAAAGTGTATTTATTAATTTCTAAATAAATAAAAGGTATTGTAAATTTAAAATATATTTTAACTCATATAACAATAGTTTAAAAAAAATATTAATAGTGTTTTTTTTACAATTTTTATTTTAATTATTTTGATTAAAACTTTTTTCCTTTTTTAAAATATTACATTAATAACAAACTTAAATATACAAGAAAAAAATTATATTAAAAAAAAAAAAAAAAAAAATTGAATAATAAAAAAAAATATACTATATTATAAATTGTATAATATCAACTTGTGATACAACAAACTTTTCTTAGTCCCTTAAAATGTGTTATATTGTGAATTGACTGTAGTTAAATTAGTTATATCATAAACAAACATTTAATTTTAATATATGCATAGTCCTTGAATATAATTAAGTATTCTAATTTATAGATAGTTGAAATATAATCACAAATTTAATTTTTTAATGTAGTATATTTATTTACATAATAAAAAACTATATGAGTAATTTTGTGTACCTATATTTATTATTTATTATAATATAGAATTTACTTACTTTTGTTACTTGAACTATTGCTACTGCTGCTGCTACTGCTAGAATCACTACTACTGCTGCTACTACTGCTGCTGCTGCTGCTACTACTACTGCTGCTACTTGAACTACTGTCACTATCACTATCTGATGATTCTGACAGCTGGTCAATAATTTTAGCAACAGCTGGCACTTGTTTGGGTTGTTCTTTTAAAAAGTCTCTCAATTCGTCACTTTAATATCAAATAAACAACTTATTAAATAATATAACTTCAAAATATTAACAACTACTAAAATTTTATAAAATATAATTAAACTTACGTTAAACCTCCTAAACCAATAGAGGTGAAAAAATTGATAGAAAATCTAGTATTCTTAGGGTTATCTTTAGGGAAAATTCCTTCAAAAGCTAGTTTTAAATCCCTGAAACAACATATAATCAATAAGTTATTTAAACATTAATAATTAACGTACCAATATTTTATAAATAAAATAAGTGTTAAAATAGATTTAACTCACGGATTCTGAACTCGAGCATTCAAATTATTAAGTCCCATGTGTTCAGCTAGTTCTTGGAACAGAATTTTAATATAAATTCTACTAGAAGAAGTTGTTTCCTCTTCATTTAGATGTATTGTAGATAAGACAGCCCATGAAATAGAGTCTGTAAACAATAAATGTGCAAAGAATCTTGCAACATTACGTAATTTGTTTGTCTCTAAACGGTGGACAGTTGCATAACTGTCAATAAAAATTTTTTCTAATGGCTCAATAAACATATTATTTATTTGACAAAATCTCTGAAAATAATTAAAAAATGTGAATTAATCATTAAATCATGAAGAAATAAATGTTTCATACATTTTTTTTAAATATTTTTAATTGAAAATTGTATTAATTAATTATTTAGCTAAATTAAAGCTGAAAACTTACTTGTGCTAAAAGGCCGAAAAATTTTTCGTAGGTTCTTTGTTCACCACAACAATCCAAAAACATATGACACATTTCTATTTCTTGACCAGGTTTCAATTGCATTTTCATTAATTTATGAGCACATTCCTCATAATCCAATGAAGAATGTATTGTTAAGTAGATCGTTTTTCTTAAAGATATCATGTTTGTTTCTGTGTTATCAATAATGACTTTACCTTCTCCTTCTAAAAATTAAGTATAATAAAATAAAATTATTATTTATATAACAAATTTAATTATAATTGATTATTAAAACATACAAATTATACAGTAAAAACTAAAAAAAAAGTTAATATAAAGGTTTCAAAAAATTATGAAATATAAATTATTTTATTACCGCATATTACATAATTCATATTTATCTTTATTAACTAAAATTTTTTTTAATTGTTGGATTGAGTTAATAATTTTTATGTTTATGTAAATTAAAGATAATAATTTTATAATAAGATACCAAGTTTATTAATTAAATATTTATATATTATTAATAAATTGTAACATTAATATAGTCATTAATATCAATAAATAAAATAATAGAAAAAAAAATACTTAATATCATATTTAAATTGAGTAATATGATAATTTAGGGATGCATTTTGAGAAATGATAAATGATAAATTTTAATTCTAATAACCTTACAAACACATTAACAACACTAACAACTTGTACTATTCATCAATTTAATTAGAAGTCTAAGAAGTCTTAATTGTCTAAAAAATAAAATCATTGTTTTAATGCAGATTTGGATTCTTTATATTTACAAATTTTAAAACATCTTGAGTTGTTTATCATTGAAAATTATAGAAATCAAGTGAATTCTCATTAGTCCAGGACATGTCATTTTCATTTTTTCAGAAAATTTGGATTTTGGAATAAGTCAGATTTGTAATTGATTTAATTAGAATGCAATATACTTAAGCTAAAACAGACTAGAAACTTTTTTAATGATCATACAAACTCTCCTAAATAGTATTCACATTTAGGTGACAAAATAGAGTTTCACAAAACCTACAAGAAACTCTGCAATACTATATGTTATATAAACTATATGATATTACTTATGACATCTTAAAGACTCAAACTTTACCTAATTTTGAAACTGGAGATAATGGACTACTATGGCTATTCAAAATTAAATATCTTGTTGTAACATTAAATTTAACTACAACCTTATACATCATAAAATATCTGGTTTAATCTTTATTAAGATGACAACATGCTTACATATTTTGTCTGTCTTGTATGATATATATAACCTAGACATTTCTCGTTTGTTAGAACCAATTATTTAGTATGTTAACTTAAATATTAGAAAATATTGACCAATTATTATCAAATATAAAAGGTAAAAATATTATTTATAGCATATAGATTTTTATTAAAATTTAAATTTTTAAACAAGATATGATTACTTTAAAATTATGATATTTTACATTTTTATGAGTTTACAACTCGCATTAAAATTAAAATATCAATAAAAATCATGATGTGCTCTAAATAATATACTTATATTTAAGTTAATTGTTTTATAATAGGTTAATTTACTAATTTTTTAAACTAACATCACATAATTGTTTCTGTTAAACCTAAATTTACTGTTGTTATGTTGTATGTGTGTATATAAAAGTAACATATGCAGGGATGGTGGTTCTCATAAAAATAGAAAAAAAAATCCTCAGTTGGAAATGTAATTTTTACCGAGAAAGCAAGTGCTTTGCCTTCTACTATTATATATTTCTTCAATCTTAGTAAAACTAAAAAAATAAACTAGAATAATTTCTAATTTGCCATGGATTGTGAAAAACAATGCTAAAACTTAAAAATACCAACAATCAATAATTTCATACAAACACTAATAGAATCATTTTACATAATATGTTTTAAGTTAAGTACAAAACTATGAATTAAAAACATATATATCTTTGATAATTTGTTAAAGAATGAAATTAAATTTAAAAAAATTATTTTGATGTTTAATTGTAATCTACTAAGGCAAATAATTATTTTTATTGTATACATATTATATCAAATTATTAATATAATATTAGGAAACATAACTTTTATATAAATGTCAAGAATATAATACTCATAACTAAGGAGCGGATGTTTATGCTCTAAAAAATTTTAAAATATGCATGCAATTATGCACTATAAAGTATAAAAATATGCGTAGAATTTATTAAAAATATGCATCAATAAAATTTTTTATTTATTAAAAATTTAAAGTAATAAATTGTTAATAGGCAATTTAAAAAATAAAATAAAATTCATTATTATTATTAAAATTAAAAACGATGTTTGCAAACTTCTGTTGAGTTTTTTGTTAATCTGAAAATTGACTATTCCTGGTTGACGCAAATATTATTTGGACAATAGACCTATAGCCGTGAGAAATGTTGATCTATTAATATTAGTCTTACCGAGTCCATTAATAATATAATACAAAAAAACCAAGATGAATGTAGAAATATGATCAAACAAGTAAAAATAGAACAAATATGCAAAAATATGCAAAATTTAATTGATAAATTTAAATTCTTTGAGTGATGAAACAAATTTCTATCGTACTCCGCATTAATTTAGATGTTATTAAAAAATATGATAAATGCATAACATCCGCTCCTTACTTATAACTAAATTTAGAGGAATCAATTTCAATAAAACTTAATTAAATAATAATTTTAAAAATCTGAAATTTTATTGTATTTTAAATTGTAAGATATTATGATAACTTAAACTCAAAATTTCACTTGTATAATTGATTAAAAAAATATTGTTTCTACTTCTAAACTGTATATAATTGTTTTAATTAAACAGACACATAGATTAATGAACGTTCAACTCAATCTAATGAAACTTATTGAATATTTTATAAATATGATTTCCAAAAAACTAATAAAAAAATCAAATTTTAACATTAATTAATAAAATGTTATGTTAAAAATAAATCATATCTTTTAAGTTATAATGAAATAATTAATTTATATCAATAATAAAATAAAACAACTGATCTTAGATTCAATAAAATTATACCTTTTTCTTCTCCGTCATCTTCGTCATCGTCATCATCATCATCGTCATCATCATCACCATCATTTTCTGAACCACTTTCATCTTCATTGTCTGAACCTAATATTTCCGCTCTCAATGATTTATAACGTTCTTCATTAGCTTCAAAGTCCGGATCAAATTTATATACATCTAAAAAAATAACATTTTTAAAATAAAATATTACTTCAGAATAAATTTTATATTACTAAGAATATCTTGTGGATCTTTAGCAGAGTCTAAAGTTAATAAATGTGTAAACTGATCCTCTTCAGGTACTAAATCAAGTTGTTCAATTACGGCTGGGTGATCTTTAAATCCATCTTTGCGTATTTGAAACATTACTTCTATCATGTATTGAACCTAAAACATTTAAAAAAAAAATATTAAGCATGCATGCATTTAAGCACTTGAATAAACAAAAATGTACACATAAACAAAAAATTATTATTAGTTTGTATACCTGAATTTTCATATTTCTTAAAATGAAAAATGACAATTACAGTTATTTTAGTTTAAATTTAAATTTATATTTAATGACTACTCTTTACAATAACAATTAATTTCATATTTAAATACAATTTTGGTTTGGTTTTTAATTTTATATTATAATTAAATGAAATTTTATCATACACATCATCTATTTTTATATAATTATTATTTATAATCCACAATTTAGTTTTATTAAAAAAAATTAAAAATAAATAATATACACTGATATTAAAATATATTTAAATATTAAAATATTCATAATATTATGTATTTACCCTTTTATCGAGTTGTCCATCGTGTAATATGTTGCGTAACATATCAAATATAGCGTTCATTCCTTTTTTACTAACTTGACTCATCTTTTGCCCACATTCTTTCAAAAATGCTACCGCTACTTCTATTGAATCTTCAGTAGGTGTTTCCACAAATAGAGTTAATAACTCTAAAGCCAATATTTCATGTGCCTAAAATACAAATAGATACATCAAAAGGTTAGAAAGTGGATAACTATTATAGATTTTTTGAATTGAAATTTAATAACATATCATTGTATACAAAAAATAACTCTGAGCAGATGTTCTATAAACCTACAATAAAACTAAGTATATTTTGTTATACTTTTTAATTCCTCTGCTCAGAATTTAATAATTAGTGAAAGTGTGATACATTTTAAACACAATAAAATTACAAATTAATACTTACAACACTTTGATTAATTAAATGAGCAATAAATGTTACTGATCCTAAACATTGAGATTTTTCATTTCTTCGATATCCTCTTTTAAACTGTACAATACACCTTGTCAACAGTAATTCTCCAATATTTGGAAACTAAAAATATTTTATTGAAATTATTGTTATTTAACAAATTATTTTTATAGTGATTTAATATTTTTTTATAAACTTAATTACTTTTGTGTTTATAATGGCCACTAAAGCAGCATACACATGTGTATATGTTGTTGAAGCTAATTGAGCTTGCATAATGGACCGGCATAATAAACCTCTACCACGAACAATATTTTCTCGTAGTAAGTCTCTAGTAACTTTTCCAATATTGTCTACATTGATCTTGTTAGTTAAACCATGTATTGACTTTTTCAATGCTTCCCAGGCAATTCTTTGATATGCAGCACTAAAATTACCAAAAATTACAATTATATAAAATTGAATATTTATTATTGTTATTAGATAGATGTTAAAACATAATTACAAAAACTTATTAACTATTTATTGCATATTATGCTAGAAACTTTCTTTTTTTTCATAAGTTTAATTTAAACTTAACAATTTTTTTGTATCAACGTGATATTATTATTTCATACTCTATCACATGTATAAGACACACACAAAACATTTTCTTAAATTTAAAATTAAATTTATGGAATAATATTTACTTGACATATATCATAATATCAGTAAACTCATACTTCAAAATACTAGTGTATTGAGAAATACTGGTTAAATATATTAAAAGTTATCGCCACCAATATATCAGTGGATGCTATTATAAAATTACAATTCAATACACATTGTATAATTTATTTATTGCCATAAAATATTACTATTTTATAGACTAAAAGACTTGAGTCTTGTTATTTAAATTAACAATGATAATGTATTGATTGAAAACATAAAATATCTGGATTTCATAACGGCAATACTATTATGAAATCCCAATTAACCATGCGTAAAAACAACAAAAAACCATTGTCTATTCAAACTTAATATATGGACAACTCTCTAATCAATGTATGTTTAGCTAGCAAATGTTCACTCTTTATAATTATTTAAAATAGAATAAGTAACTAAATGTGTTAAGCACCTAGACTTATCTGTGATACTTTCTTGCATCATTCTCAATTTCGCTGGTGGAATATAGGCACCTCCAGTTTTAGATGTTAGTAGTTCCACAGTTTTTTTCTGATGTAATGGTACGTCGTTTATGTCATCCTAAGAAAAAAAAAATATTATTTATATTTACCACAATTATGTTGATTATATATACATACATTTTGTTTTTTATCTTTTTTGGCATATTTATTCCAATAGTTTTCACTATTCTTTCTTTGAGTATCAGCAGTTTCGGTAGAATAATATCGTTGTCCGATTTTATCATCTTCATCGTCGGTTATTTCTTCACCACTCTCACGTTCATCAATACTTGCTATTCCGCCAGAATAATATGGAGCGCCAATTTTTTCTTCTTTTTTACTGTCCGCATTTTTAGATCTGTTTTCTTTTTCTTGGCGATCTCTACTTCTATGGCGTCTCCTATATCTAGAATCATCCTCATACCGATCCTCGCCTTTACGGTAATACGTTGCAGTACCACCTGAATAGTATGGATCACCTACCTTCAATTCTTCATAATTACGTCTACCACCTTTGTCATATTTATCTTTTGTTGATTGACGATCTCGACTAGAGTGTCTTTTTGTTTGTTTCGAATTTATATTATCGTCGTCGTCGTCGCTGTGGTTCCTTTTAGCACTAATTACTTTACACACTTTACTTTCCATATCTAAACATAAGAAGATTCAAGTATAAAACTATAAAAACAGTGATAAACACAACTTAACTAGCTAAACTACTAAAGTACAAAACTCAAAAGTTTGGAATCAAAAATATCAAATGCTTGATCCAATCTTAAATCATAAGCAAAAATAATAAATATGGATACGGGAAAGATAACGTACAAACAAGCGGGCAGTCGTGAGCATATTCAGGCACCTAATAAATCGTGTTTTGAGAGGCTATTAGTACCACACAAACCATGGTTGCGGTAACAATAACAGTGATAAAAAATGCGCGCCCATTTAAACCGTTTTCGAATTAAATGAGGATGCCTACTCTGATATTTTTGTAGTTCATATAATATTTTACCTATAATTGGTTACAACAGCTATAACTAGTTAGTATTTACATATCTAATCATTTAAATCAGTCTTAAATAAAACCAACTCCTTGAGGGTTGACAATTACAATACTAAAATATAAACATCAACAGAACATACTACGAGTATTGTATGTTTGTTTTTTTTCTGTTTTTTTTTTTAACTATTATATGCCTATACATCATAAATTATAATTAAAGTACTACAGAATATAATATTTTGTTAAATTATTATTATATTTTTTCTCTAGTCTGTTATATTGACTTAAATCATAATTTTCATATTTTAATTAATATCATTATTAAGTAATTATTGTATCAAACTTTTTTTTTACATTGGACTACCTACCGTGTCTGTTTTTCACAATAAATAAATAAAATTACAATGTTTTTAATGATTTACCAAGCATATCCACTTCTCGTTTTCCATATAATAATAGATTCGTTAAAATTTATTTTTTAGATATACATTTAAGGATCATATTATTATATACTTGGATATTTTTTCAAATTATTGAACAATATTTTTCTAAATCTTTAAAGTGTCGAGTGAAAATGAAAATTTTTTGTTTTTACAAATTAAAAAGAACTTAATACATTTATAAGCAAATGATAATTTTGTGTCATAAAAAACTAATTAGTCAAATAATTTTTAAGTAATATATTATACAATATCAACAAATAACAATAATAATAATAATAATAATAATAAAATTATTAATTTTTATATTTATTTAAAAAGTTATAACAATTATACCTACTTAAGGAGTATCAGTGTCATCGGTATAAGGGGGAGGGCATACATATTATCAGGATCCGACTGTTCCAAACTATTACTATTAACTGGTTAATAGTGTTAATACTCTTGACCAAAGATGAAACAATTTTCTCACATTTTGTGCCAAAAATAAACTTTTTTTCTTCTTATAACATGCTATTAAATTATAAAAAACCTTAATGATATATACATATTATAAGATAAAATCTATTAATATAAAAATAATTTTACGTACACGAAACGCGCATTTACAAATTTATTGACAAGACGTATTTATACTGATTATTGGGCTACATTGCCTACATTATGTTTGAGCATACGATCATTATATCGATCAAATAACAATTATTATTCAATTTTATCTGTAGGTATTAATTATAGAATTAAAATTTCATCATTTCGTAATACAACTTTGAAATGCTATTAATGTTTTTAATACATCTGCAATTTAAATTTTAGAAAAACATCAATGGTAGTCATTAAGTAGGTACTAATAAATGTTGTTGAATATTATTAAAAATAAAATAAAATATTAGTATTTTAAAAATAAAATATATAAATAAATTGTTCCTTCAAAATGTTGAATGCCGTGAATTTGTCATCTTTGTTTTAGACTAGACTGCCAATAAAATTTTCAAACAATTTCAGTTAAAATGTACCAATGTATGGGAATCTTTTTTGAGATAAGAATTTAGTAAGATATTCATGATAAAGATAGAAAACTAAGTAATCAAATTGTATATTATTTTATTTTATTTTGTTTTTTTTTTTTTGAATAATTCTTTGGAAACATATAATTTATATATTAGATGCGCAATAAACTTATATACAAAAGTTGGAAGTTGACTTAAAGGGATTGATTGAACAATCACCTATTAACGGCTCTTACCTTAATTCTTATTTTTTTTTAAATTATTATTTATTTTAAAACGATTAGAGGTATGAGTTAACATTTTAGATCAAAAAAGAATATTTTATATCACTATAGTCTAAGTCATACTCAATTGCACATTGCTACACCAGATACATAGGAACACCTAACCACTAACCTAATTAAACATTATAAAAAAGCAATATTACTTATCATGTTCTACTAGCTCTACATAAAGACTATAGTTTTACCAACAAATTATTCCTTAGGCTTTTTAATGTAAATAATTATTTTTTGTATCTATCATACAGTTACACAATATTCACGGTTGTTTTATTTTAAGTTTAATATTAATTATCAATATAGATAGTACGCTTATTTTCATAAACATTTTTTAAATGTGCTGATATAAAAAAAAAAAGAATTAGATACTTTCTATCCGTATCTGTATCTATATTTAGATACTAATTTAAAATATTTTATTACAATACTAACTATTATAGGTAATTTATAATTCATATTTTAATAACGACCATGATGATAAGTTATTTATTTATATATTGGTAGCCAAAACTCTGTATAAACGATTCCATTAAAATCTCTTCGACCACCGCAATCCTCTAATCTCAAAATTATCTACTCTCAACATCCCAGGTGACCCTGGAAGACGTTTAAAATGCAAATGGTGTCGGGATCTCCTAACTGAATAAAACCCATTCACAATTTCAAGAAGTTCCATCGCTGGATGGATTCTTCGCTTAAGTCATCAGTCCCTTTTATTTTATTTTATTTTATTGTTATTCTATTTCTATCTTATCAACATTTATGCTCATTGTAAAAATAATATATTTACAGATTGTATAATAAAGCAAATTAAAAACAAAAAAAAAATTTATATATTGATATGGTCTCGGATAAAATAATAATAATACATTAAATATATTTCACGCGAGAATATGTATATAGGTACACTATATACCTATTATAAAAGCGATATATGATGTGTTCCTACATATAAAGCTAAATAATAGCATTCCGTTTCACCCTTGTAACAAGATAATGGCGGAATAATGACGCAGGACATATAATGGTCTGATTTTTTTTTTTATATATATATTATTATTCGCACAGAGATCAGAATACCGTGACCGAATTAGGGGCGAAAACGGCTCTGGCAATTTCAAGGAAGACTAGCCGCAGTTATATGCTCTTTGACTTTAATGTCGTACTGCTATTTCAAGCCCCATTTAGTTTCCTTTTTTCAGTTTGCTAATGAGAACCAGATTAATCCCAAGACTGCAAGAGTTTGGTAAATATGCTTAACGATCACACGCACTATTTACACGCGGTTAAAATGAAATTTTATATTCGTCGAATCGATCGGAAATACAGCTTTGTTTAATGAATTAAATAATTCGTGCAAAACTATTAGCATGCATACAAATATATAATATACGCAGCAGTTTGTTGTATATTTATATGACTCGGTGTTAGTATAGTGGAATATTTTCGTTACAGCGGCAGCGTTAATTTTTAAATTAAATGGCAATAAGCGTGTTATTGGTTTAGTTAGATTTTATACAATATGTTATATAACTAGAAAACAATTATTATCAATGTATATGTGATTTATTACGGTTAATTAAATTAAATTAATCAAAAAAATATTTAAACCTTCTCCCCTCAGGAAATAAAAAATAAAAATAAAACTCTGATTATGTGTGCTTGTAGGTAATAGGTATTTAAGAATATTATACATTACTATAGTAATGTAAAATTACAGTAATAATCTAAATCTTTTTGTATTCTCCAAAACAGAGGAAAAACTGATTTTTTTTATATGTAATATTTTTTATTTTTATTCACAACTTATAAATTTAACTTAAATATTAAATTTACCATTTGTTTTTATACGTTTTCTAAAAAATAAAATAAATAGTACTGTACAACAGTTGGAATGTATTTTAGCTGTTATAAACTACAAAATTACTTTTTACTAGAAAAAAAACAAAAAAAATTTACCTCAAAGACCTAAATATTGTCTCACATTTAATGGTACATACAGGGGAAGGGGTGCATTTTGTCACTTTTATACGGACATTATTGGACGTTTTTATTGTAGATGCATTATACTTATAGTAATAGTAATAACTGATATACAGTTATTAATGTAATATTATAATATTGCAATGCGTATATATACGATAACGGGCTACCGTAAATAATCCGATTGCCATTTAATAAAATATATAATATAATATACGCGTGCGGCCCCTCTTAAGACCCGACACAGACAGGCACGCGGTTATTGAGCAGCTGACCGCGCTCCAGCGGTTCCCGGTCGTCCGGAAAATGAACTCTCGGCCTTTTTATCCTACGCGTGCGTCGCTTTTCACACTCGACGAACGTTATTTATATCTCTATATTTCTGTCCATCTATCTATTTATCTGCATATACAACCATATCATCCATTCCGTTGTATCCTATTTCCCCTTCTCCACGTTGACGTTGCTGTGTAATATTTTGTTTCTCGAGATTTTTCACTTGGTCCCATACACGTTTACTTATTAAAATTTACATTGTCAGTTATTAACGGATAAACTATAATATTATTTAGAGCAATCGAACGCATTGACACAATAATAATATATAATATCATATTAATGTATGTATAAGAACGTGGAGTAAAGTATTAGACAATAAAAAAAATTGCATGAACTAATTTTTATGATCATGACGTTATAAATACAACAACGATTATAACGGATTAAGCATACTTGGCATACTGCACATATATAGTATTAGACTGATTGTGGGTCTACAAAATATTATTACGTTTAATAAATATTAAAATAAAATAAAATCTTTCAAGCATTTAACAGTAATATAATATAGTGAGTCCCAGAGTTACTCAAAAGATTTTTCACTTTAAACTGAGTCTATCGTATTCATGTAGTTTGAAATTTGTCGTTATAAGTAGTAGATTTATACATTATTTTTTAAAAAAATTACTCAAACATTACAAAAATGAACAATTTCCGTTTTTTTCCAATTGTTTGATACGTTAAACAAATAACAATAGTCAAAGGTCTAAATAAATTATATACGATTTTTTTTCTCATAATACTAGTCCCTATATTAATTTAACAATTAATAAAATCATACAATTTTAATTTGTAGCTATTAAAGATTAATCAGTTTA